TATTTATTTGCAACTGCCTTATTTTGGCTTTTTTGGTTTATTTTTGATGGCACTTAAGGATGAAATGAAATGATGTTATTACACGTCAGTAAGGTCTTAGACTTGTGCGCTGTATGCCTCTCAGTTTTGATGTAAATACATGCAATTTCTCTTCTTTTTTTTTTTGTAGGAGTTCGGACGAAGGACGACAAAGATATCATCTTTATAGATACAGATAGACTTCCGAAGAGAGAACATTTCAAAAATAAGAAGGAATTCAAACAGGCGGTGAGAGAATTCATCTCGTAAGTATCAAACTTATAAGCTCAGTCTTAAGCGCAAAAAAATGTTTAGTGAAACAATTACTGAAATCGGTTTTCTTGTGCTATCGTGAATAATTATCAAACCTCGTGTCTAATTAGCTTCTTTCCAATCAGGCCGTATGTTGCATAACGTAATATGTTTGCGCAACGGTTACCAACGATAGAATGTCTTTTTTCTGCAGATACCTTGAAGCTTTTATCCTCACGTACGTGGACACGCATCACTTTTTGATTGTCGTTCATGGCGGCAGTGAAAAATGCGCCATCAAGGATGAGCTGAGACGAAAAATTTATAACAAACTAAAGACCGGGTAATCCAAATGATTTTGATAAGCTAGCAAATATGATATAGATTCTTTGACGTCAAAATTCTGTTTTCTCACTCATGAGTCCGTGAGAAGTCAAACAATCAAAGATAAATTCCATATCTACGCACGCCCATGTATTATTCTCTATTTCTTTTCCATTTCAGTTTCCTGGATCGCTTGTCTAAATGCATCATCTTCAAACCACAAAGGAAACTGAAGGCACTTGCTCTTTTCCTCCGTCCATTTCTCAAGTGAGTGTAAATATTTGTTGTATCCGTTTTGAAAAAAATTTAGACAAAGAAGGATTTTACAAGTAAAAGACACAATTATTTCATATGCAAAGTTATTCAGAGACGAAATAATACAATTAGTAATGGTAGCAGGACTAAGTGGAATCCAGTTCGGTCTGTAATTGTATGAGTGATAACAAAATCGGACGAACGCGATGAGTACAATTACTTACAACCGAATTGGACGACACGAAGTCTTACTATAAATTAATAATAACAATTAAAATTTCTGAGAAAAGAAGAAAAGCATAGGAATGAAAGAAAGGGAAACTTTGCATTAATCGACTGACAAAGGAGGCGTAAATTGTTTAATGTCGCTCTTGATTTAAACTACAAAATTGGAAGGTGATTGGCTGAGTGAAACCTCCCTCCTGCCCAGCGCTTAACAATTAAGCTCTCCTGTCCTCTCCCGATCTTAATCTGAAATTTGTTGAATGTTTTTGCAGTAGAGAAATGAAGCAAAAGATTGCTATGACAACGTCCAAAAGGTACCTTCATGATATCCAAGGTGAGACTTATAGAACAGGTTGGTAATCAATGTATAAATATCTAAAATACATGCTGGAATAAAGAGAAAAATCACTAATTGTGGTAATTTTTTTCTGCCATTTGTTTGCAGGTATACCGGATTTTGTCACCAAACACCTTTAACTTTACCATGAGTTGCAAGTTTGAAACAAGAAACGTAAAAAAAAGACAAAAAAAAAAAAACAACGGTTAAGCAAAACAAACAAATAAATGACCAAAATTCTTATTAGCTAAAAGCTAAAAAAAAGGAGAACAAAGAACAAGCAAGCAAAAAAAAAAAAAAAAAAAAAACAGTCTATCAGACTTGAAAGAAAAAAGTGCTAAGAGCACAAGTAAATTCAAAGCAAAATATATCAAAAGAATTTAAAAAAAAATAATGGCTAAAGAAAAAACAGAAAAAAAAAGAAATTTAACACAGCAAAGAAAATGTATAAACGAATAAAATAAACAAAATAAACAAATAAAACAGAAAATAAGCAAAATATCAAGAAAACAGAACAACACAATGATATTAGTAAGATAGAAATGGCAAATAAGTCATTGCGGCAACATTAACAACAGACAGGACCGGAAAGTCAAGTACTAAAGCACGAAAGTAACCTTTGTAACTTTTAATGCTAAGCCTTATTTAATAAAATGTTAATAGTACTGAGTCTGTTGAGTCTCTCCTTTGAGCTTCTTGCGAGTTTTTGATGTCCTTGTACAATATTGCCTCACTTCGTGATCGAGTCCGGCCCCAAGGTGTTTATGGAGACAGAAAAATTTCAACTGTTCACCAGTTTCGAGTTTCCTTCTTATGTATCGTTCAAATCCAAGCTTCAATATCCTCCTACGGACAAACCCCTGGGCATTTGAGCTTTTGAACATCGGTTTAAATAAATTCCCTGCTCCTCCTCGAGGCAAAATTGTTCAAATGCCCAACCCACCCAACTTTTTCGTAAAAGGCAAATTCTACAACCGTGACTTTCTACCCCTCGACCAAATCTCTGCTGGAGAGACATGACACTTTCGGTTCAAATTCCCCACCCCAGCCAGGCAAAGGCTCAAATTCTCTAGTCCTTGAACACGGACGACGGTCAAACGCCAGTGGGTTTCCCCTGAGATGTTGAGATGAGAGATTGTCTCGAACTGTTTTTAACTTTGCGCGTGCGCATGATTGTCAATAAAACTTAAAGCAAATCACATCATTACCCCGCGAAGGATATCAGCCAGGCTTCCATTTTGGTCTTATTGATAATAATAAAGAAATTCTGATTTAGAAAACACGAAACTTTCCACTCATCTAAAACCCAATTAATGGTCACATCTAGAATAATTATTATCGCTGAAAAAAGTACTTCATCACTATATGTCACGACAGCATGAAGAAACTAGTCGAAACAAATTACACTTTCGCCGCATATTTAAGCAGTACAGCTTTACTGTCGTAAAAAGAAAATCGCAATAGAAATCTACCATTGGCAAGCTGTTTCATGGAGGTATGTGATGTCTGTTTCTTCTGGTCGTCAAGAATGAATCAATATAATTTCAGATGTTTTGTAGCGTTAGTTTCCCAACCCAGATAAGTTAATTTCGCCATTTGAAGTTTATCGATAAAGTCTTATTTTTTGTTTGTTTGGTGGAAATGTTTGGAGACAACTTCCAAGAACTCACGTTGAAAACTCGCACTTCAAAAATTTAACCGGCCAGGAGACCAAAAACAGCAATTGTGTTTTACGCTCCGAAAATAGTTGGACCAACCCTCAGCCGGTAAATAAACCGTATGATTTATGGCTTTAAATACGGCAAGATCTTCCATAAACTGAGCAATTTTTGAGCGAGTAAATGGTAGTTAAAATAGAGGTGATTCAAACTAAAGGAAGATTCTTCACCGAAACATTTCCAATTTGTGTAATGATAAAGTTTATTTTAAAGGCTTCCAAACAAACTTTGAAACATTATTATACAAGTATCTGTCACAATCTGACACCTGTCAATTAGAGAGCACGTAAGAAAAAAAAAGCGCATGTAAACATTTGGAAAACAACAAAACTAGTTTGGCAAGAACTATCACGATAATATTTTCCTCAAAAATAGTCAATAATCTAACGGAAAGTATTATTCACTCTCATCGACGATTAATTAATATTTTATATTTTGAAGTTGTGAGAGTTTGCTCGTTTGTTTGCTGCAATGGCGTGTGTAAACCTGTTCTTTCCTCCACTAAAAGTAAATTCGAATGATACATTCTGACGAGACACAAGGAGACTTAATGCGGCCTTGTTTCATTGAATTCCTTCTGTTAAGAAGAAAGTACCGGACTGGCGTGTCGTGCGATTAGCGCGCGCGCGCTGAGACATTTAAATTAGACCAGTTCATATGCATGTTACGCGTACGATTTCTCGCGTAGTTTTTTTTTCTTTTTTAGTTTTAGTCGCATTTTGGAGGTTTTTGTTTTTGAGTATGTATCTTAAGCCGTTACCGTTTTACCGTCTTTTTACCGATTAAACGTGCCTGCTTTTAAAGGAGATTTTCGTTACCGCTTCCCAACATTTCTGGCGACCACGATGGGAGAAAGGTACGAACTGGTGTTTGTTTGAGGTTTCGTTTGCGATTTGAGTTTTTGAGTTTTGAGTTGTGCACTATGGCTGCCGAATCCGACCACAGCGATGTTACCGAGAAAAATGACGAAATTGTGGATGGAGTCGACAAACAGAAGCCAAACGACGTTCTGTTTATTCAGATTAAAAGAAGATATCGCTCCGCAAAGACAAAAGTAACAAAACTCAGACACGAGTTAGAGAGACTATGGGTGAAGGATTCCGAAGTAACGGACATAGAAAGTATGATTGAGCAGTTGTGGGCAGCTATTGAAGACGCACAAGAAATTTTAGGGGAACTGTCGTGAAAGGCAAAATCGGCGACCGTGATCACATACCTCACATGATCACATAGCTCCACGAAACAGCTTGCCAATTACCATTGGCAAGCTGTGTCATGGAGGTATGTGTTGCTTGTTCTGATCGTCAAGAATGAATCAATATAATTTCAGATGTTTTGTAGCGTTAGTTTCCCGACGCAGATAAGTTAGGTTCGCCATTTGAAGTTTATCGATGAAGCCTCGTTTTTTTTTTTGTTTGGTGGAAATGTTTGGAGAAAACTTTCTAAGAACTCATGTGGAAAACTCGCAGTTCAAAACTTAAACAAGCCAGGAGACCAATAACAGCAACTGTGTTTTAAGCTCCGAAAATAGTTGGCACTTTGTATTTGGGTTTAATTCCAAAACTTTGAAGGAATTTTTTAGATTTTAACAGATTTAAGATTTTATGGTTGTGATTCCAACAATGCTTCACCGCCCTCTTGAGTAAAATGTAC